CTCTGTAAGTGTTTGGGAACTGAGGAGACACTGCTGTAGTTTAGAAAGTAAAATGTTTTCCCGTTCTTGTTTGATACAGGATTTCAGCTGCTCAACAGTTCGGGGTCTTGTCATATTTCTTGTTTCATAAAGTGCCATATGTTTTCAGTGGGTGGCAGGTCTGGACTGCAGGCAGGTCAGTTTTGCACTCTTTTTTTTTACTACAGACCCAGAGCACTAAGTTGTCTTCTCACAGTGGAAGGATGGACAAACAGCTGTGTAATGTTTTGAAGGTGGTTGTTAGGAATCCCATTTTCTCTGCATCTTTTAAGCATTTCTCAAATTCTAGTTTTGGAGACTCCGATTTTTATTTTTTTCTTCTTATCCATGCAAGTGGATTATCTTATATCTGATCTCCTCAGAAATATTGCCTGTAAAATGAATAACGTACTTAATGGCTGTTTGACTGGAAATAAACTAAATGAAGGGTCGTCTCTGGCTTTTGCACAGTACTGTACACTCTTAAAAAGTCATATTACACCCACAGAAAGTATAAATATGAAATATCTCAAATCCAACCTCGACACGAAGGCCTGTAGAACGATTTTGAAATGCATACAATACATAACATCAATAACTTAAAGGGCAAAGCCACAGGTTTTTCATAATCTCTGCATGAATCAATTGCTGAGATGTAAACAGGATCGTTCAGAGTGGTTTGATGTGAAATGGTTCATTGTAGTGAGACTTCCTGACTCATTTCTTTACAGTGGTGGTGATAGAAACCAGGGGTCACGATGTCTACAACACAAATATAGCCATTTTATTAACTATACAAAACAACCAGTGAGCTAACAGGCGTCTTCTGAGTTTTTAGATGTAATGTTGATGGTAAGAAGTACGACGGCGTTTTAGGGCCACTGTTAATAAAATAAAAATAGTAGACTTTGAGACAAAAAGTCCTAATATTTTGAGAAAAAAGTCGTAATATTCCAAGAATAAAGTTGTAATATTTAGAGAGAAAAAAAAGTCATCGAATCCCAACATTAAAGTAGAATTAATACCAGGAAAGGTCGTAATATTGTGGCCCAAGGCTTTGCAGAGGGAAGGCAGCACCTCCTCGTGTTAAATGAGGGGTGCTGAGTTGGTGGAGTCATAATTTCATATCGATTCACCCATAAAGAAACACTCAGTCTCCCTGTCTCTCCTGCACATCAGCACCAGCCTGTTATTAGTATAAGAACCGGCTGAACCGGCTGAGCAGGAAACCGTTTATTTAGGGCATGAAGTTTCACAGACAGTGAGAATGATGATCAAAATGATCCACAGAGAGACAGGAGTGAGTGGAGCTCCGGCGCCAGTACAGGAACCGAGACCCCAACGCGTTACGGCAGCCCCCCTACAGTTAGCCCACTTTATCCTCCAAAAATTACGACTTTTTCTCAAAATAGTGCAACATTTTTTTCTCCAAATAGTGCGACTTTCTTCTCGAAACATTATGACTTTATTCTCGAAGTGTACTATTTTTATTTTTATTAACAGTAGCCCTAAAACATTATCATAAAAAAGAGTGGCAAATCTGAAAATCGTTTTCTTTCAGTACTATTTTGTCTTACTATGTCTTGCATGCATCACTGCCTTGAATAAGTAAAAATGTTTTAAGAAAATATCACAAAACAAGCTCTCGGTTATCAGGCAGTGTATTTATAACCATAGCTTTCTGTGAGGGGCACCTTTCAGAGACATCAAATGCTACAGATGTCTGGTTCCTATCACCACCACTGTGAGCAAATCTGACTCAAGTTTCCCTAGAAATGAGCACCTCACATCAAACCACTCTGACTGACTTATTTAAATTAATTTAATTCAATTAATCTAAATATACAAACTTACCACCAGAGGGAAAGTTAAACATGGACTTCTTTATTAAAGCTCAGATCTCATACAAATTTCAGTTCTTCAGGAAACTGCATGCAGTGGCTTGGTTTTGAGGCACAATACTAAGGAAAAGAGCTTTGTTCATTTTCTTACAAAAAGAAAAGAAAAAAAATCGAAACAGAATTGCATAAATCAAACTGAATGCCATGTCATATTGCAGTTCAACCCACTACTAATTTGAAAGTTCATTTTAACTTGTATTCTCTTTGAGTAGACGCATGTAAAATATACACGTAAAAAGGCGACGGAGGGAGAGTCGTTAAGAACGGGTTTGCGGTTAAGACGATGAACGAGTCCACCTTGCATTTCTTTTTCGTTTTCTATTTAAACGAGAGAGATTCTGAAATGAAACGTACAAAGACAATAAATAGCTAGGCATGTTATTCATCGTTATGACACTTCAAATCTTATCTACATCCAAGGTTTGAGTGTGTGAGCTCTATTTCTGCCCAAACAAACCTCTGTGTATAGTCGAGGAACAGAACAAAGACCCTCCTGACCCTTATTCAGGTTCAGGCTCTGACGATTGCAGACGTTCTACGAAGACGACCTCGCGAGGGCTGGATTTCCATCTGTAGCTTATGAATTCAACAAAGAAATGACCACAGCGAGGCCTTTTCTCTGCCCCTCAGCTCAAGCCTCCTCTGTCCAGCCATGGGAGAAAACACTCCACCACACAGAGGAAAAGCACCAAGGCCTTAATGGGTTAAAAACAAGACGCGGTTAATGTGCAAAAACGTGTCCCTGTACACAGAAACGCATGTGCATGGGAGCAGCCAAGGTGATGCCATGATCAAAACGACCAGGATGAGGGTGAAAAAGGGTAACAATTTATTTTTGGGAAGTTTTTTGGGGGGCAAATTATGGTCTTTCGTCAATAAAGCCCACTTCTAAATGGTTTACACACTTTGCATTAAGCTATATTCATTATGACTTGGTCTGTAATGTGTCACTAATATTCGCTGTTATTAGCTGTAATAATGCACAATAAACACTTTGTAGGGACCCTTGTTATGCTAATTATTGAGCCTAAATTTTATTAGAGTGGAATCATTTTATTCCTATAGGTTCCAAGAGGAGTCAGGTGACTTCTTGAGGCTATTAGAGTTTAATAAGCCACTAATACTTCCATATCCTAGGTAGTCATCAATAATCACTAATTACAGGCTAAATAAAGTGGTTTTCAATAAGTCTGTTTGTGTCCAACATTCTGAAGTAAAGACTGTGGTTCTCAGATAACCAAAAACATACAAGCTGGGAATATTTCAAGTTAGTTTCGGCCAATTTTAACAACCAAATACAGATAAACTAAAGAACCTGAAGGGGAACTCCACAGATCTTTAATAATCTTAGCATAAATCAATTGAAGTCTTCCATTCATTTGACTCCGATTTCTTTACAGTGGTGGTGATAGGAATCAGGGGTCGCCCTGTCTACAGTGTAAATGTTATTTACTATCCAAAACCACCACTGAACAAATAGGTGTCCTCTGAGTTTTTATGTGTAATGTTAAAGGTAAGATGCATGGCAGTTTAAAAAAACTGTTTTCTTTCAGTACTATTGTGTCTTACAATGTCCTGCATGTGCAATGAATGGACGAAAAAAGAAATGCTTTACGCCAAACTATCACAAAACAACAACTCAGGCATCAGGCAGAGCATTCATAACCATTCTGTGTAATAAATCTGTGAGAGGCACCTTTCAGACATGAAATGATTCAGACGTCTGGTTCCGATCACCACCACTGTGAGCAAATCTGACTCAAGTTAGTCTACAAGCAAAATATGATGAATGGGTATTGAATTTGGGATGCAAATGAAGTCATTTAGTGCCTTGATGCTACAGATGTCTGGTTCCTATCACCTTCATTGTGAGCAAATCTGGCTCAAGGTTCTCTAGATGGAGCATCTCAAACCAAACCACTCTGAATGACTTTACAAGCTGGAAATATTTTAAGTTAGTTTCACCCCATTTTAACAAACAAATATGGTTAAACTGATCTTTTATATGGACGAGTTGTTTTGCAATCAAAATATTCGTGATGCAAATAAATTTGATTAGCGCCTTTTAGCCTCTAATTAGTCTACTTTAAAATATGAACCAACATTTCTCATTTAGAGATTGGTGTGAGATTATTTAAAAACTTATTTCTGGACATATTTACTTGCTTTAAGTGATTTTTCTAAGTAAAATTATCTCGATAATTTGTCTTTTTATAAGAAATCTACTTGAAACAAGTCAAATTATCTGCCAATACAGTGAGATAATCTGACTATAATTACTTAAAACAAGCAAAAACATCTGGAAAAAAAGTTTCTTATAATAGGCTTACAATAATCTAAACATAAGATATCATTTTTTGCAGTGTAATGCTACCTAGGAATCAGATGCTGCCAATTTTTCACTAATAAGATGAGGATTTTTGAAGATTGATTCTATCTAGTTTGGACCAAGTTTTTACTGTGCTTCATTACAGTAACTCAATTATTAGTCATTCATATAACTGACCTTCAATCACAATAAATAAAGATTAATAATTTATGAATAAACCATTTAGAAGTGTAGAATTTGGCTTTTCTTTAACAAAAAAAAAAAAAAACAAAAAAAAACACTTAATAAACCCTCAATAATTGATCCTTCAAATAAAGTGTTACCTGAAAAAAGCAGACAACAATGACTCATATATATTCACTCTCTATATTCACCGTCACCATCATTATACTTCTCCTTAAAAAGCAAAAAAAGAAAAAGACAAAAAAATATGCAGCACATGTTAGTTTGCCCTCCGTGGTGGGAGTGTCAGTAAGTCTGGATAAGTCCCTGAAAAAAATAAATGAAAAAAGAAGAAAATGATGAGAAAAAGACAAAGAACCAGGCACGAGGTCCAGGAAGCTTCCGTCTCTCTCCAGGAAGCTCCTTCACAGCAGAACGTTTCTGTTCGACTAGTCACGGTTCTCCAGAGTGCGAGAATGGCATGACCAAGAGGGGGAAAATGCAAACTCAAAACTGCGGCCCCTCGGCTTAACGTCATCAACTATATTTGGCAAATAAACATTAGAAAAGAAAACCACACTGATTGGTCACATCAACGGGTGAATGAGCTACTACTGCCCGCAGCTGATTTCATAATAAATACCGCCAGAGACTTCAGAGAGAAATAAAAAGATTCAAGAAGCCAGCAGTGCACCAGAGCTGGTTTATGAGGAAAATAAAGCAGCGACGCTGGAAAAACCTCTCAAATCGACTGCCTGTCAACAAGCTGTTTATCTGTGTGTCACAGTCCGCCAGGACACGACGGCCTGCCGGGAATCTGACCTTTGACGTTTTAGCGTTTGCAGGAAAGTAACAACCTGTCACAACACAGAGGGCTGATACCTGAAATAAACTAAGTAATTGTACCATCATTAGAAACCAATGATGAGCTGTTCATTCATTCAATAATAATAATAATAGTAATAATAATAATAATAATAATAAAAGCCCCAGAAAATGAGGCAGTGTTGAAGTAGCGGCTTCGGGTGTGTGCTAATCACAGTACTGCCTGCCATCATAGGGAATGTTGTGTTCTCTGAAGGTTGTGGGGTGGGGGCTTTAGGGAGTGTGGCAACACCGGTATAGTGAGATGGGGGGAGGGGAAGGGGAGGAACAGAAAGAAAAAGGGGAGAGCGCCAGTCCACCACTCTGCTCTACTCCCACTCTGTGGTTCCCGGAGGTTTGGATGTGAGGTCGTACATCACCCTGGAGATGCCGGGAATCTTCTTTATCTCGCTGACCATCTTCAGCACCACCTGCAGGCAGAGGAGAGCACTGAATATTCAAAAAGCTGAACCATAAAATTAGCAGTGTCCCATTCAACCTACACTCAGCTCGCCTTGCTACATCCACACGGGGAAAATGGTCGTAGGGATGGACAAAAACATCATGATGGAAAAACTGGTTGATGTTCATTGATAACAGAAGCCTATAGCCCAACTGCACTGTTCAAACTGCATGCCTTACTGAATGATTGATTTGGCTTCAAGATCTCAAATAGATCTGCTTATGTGAATTCTAACACTGTATGACTTAGTAATCCATCTATATAAATGGCAAATGTACACCACAAAGCTAAGAGCCGTAGTAGCTGGGCCTGTGCTATATGAAGATGCTATCTGATGACTGAGAAGTAGGGCTTGGCAATATGAGAATATCATTGTGATAAATAATGTAACGATACAATATAATACAATATGCTTTCCTGATATCATGGATATGCTTGTGGAACACTGACCAACTGCCTGTTTAATCATAAAAAGAGCAAAATTGGTCCTTTTTAACTGGATTTAATGCAACACAGTATGTAAAATATTGAATAGAAATTACTGTATTCATAGTTTTTGAGATTATATATATATACACACATACATACACACACACACTTTATTGATCCCGAAGGAAATTTAGCAATATATATATGACTTATTTTTCACATGCAATTTTCATTAACACATTAAAAAAAGAAATTAAATAACTAATAGAACAGATGAGGGGGGGTACAATCATAATTCTTTAGCTACAAAATATTGCTCTAATAATTTTTAGATATGGCCCAGGCCTGGTGGTAGAAGGCATTAAGTAAAATCAGATTTTTTATTTATTATTAACTGTACTGATCATACAGTTTGTATGACGCTAATTTGTGTTTAAACTTCTATTAGCTCATAGCACCAGGGCAAAACTAAAGCAAGCATCAAATCACAAACATGTCTAGGCTGAATGACTACATTTTTTAATTACTACAACTGTGCTACAGATAAACTATTACAATAAGACTGACGACGTTATCCCGAATTAGCAGATATTCTACCACTTAGAAATAAAAGCTGTGCATTGTATGGCTGGAGAAAATGGCTTTGATAATTGATGTACTAGTAATATAATGTAGAATGTCCAGAAATAGAACTGACAAGCCAAATAAACAGACACGGTTGATTTGGATTGTTGAAAATGTTCTGGCACGCCAACGAAATGTTTGGTATGTGCTCTCGCTCAGGCCTCTACACTGATACTGAGAAAAACAACCACAGAAAAACGCAGTGCTGCAAATGGACAAACTCGGCCACAGAAGCAGACGAACAGATGCCCACCTCCTCAGGGATGTGGTTGTCGGGCGTGGCAGGGATGCCGGTCATGAAGTCACTGGTGATGAAGGTTCTAATGACGACGGAGCGCCTGCAGGAGGGCTGCTTCTGCAGTGGGTCGCGGTCGAAATGCAGAGGCACCAGAATGATGGGCATCTGACTGATCTTACTCGAGTAGCCTGGAGAGACACAATGACATTATACTGTTACATTTGAGTTCGTACAGCTTCAAACACTTTCAGATGCCACATCTTAACTCTGACACTGATCTCACATTTAAAAACCTTGTAGTTGAGCTTATGATACATAATAGTGGTTATATCCCCAGTTTAAGGTCTACTGACAAGCCTGTTATTAGAGGAAATTAACTGAGGCTTCTCAAAAAGCCAGGGTAGAGTGGAATTAGAACCTTTATGCAGACGGTCGTAACAACTTCCACATACTGCAGATCATGTGTGCAGTTCACAGCAGCTCTTACCAGACTCCCTCAGGATGGAGTGGGCTACAAAGTCTGCTTGTCTGAGTGTGCTCAGCACGCCTGTGGTCAGGAAGGTGGGCGTGATGTCAGTGGGTGGTTCCTTTACGTGTGACCCGAAGACGTATACAACTCTAGGGAGGACAGGAAAAGGGAAGGGGAATTTCAGCAAATAAAAAAATATTATTACACAGAATACTGTTCAAAACAGCCTGTAGAGAAGTGGAGGGTAAATGAGACAAACAAGCAAACTTGAAAAAGCTGTACACATATGTTCTGTTTGTTTAGTCTGTTTTCACCGGCCTTTAAATAACTAACTAAAAGAACTTGACAGGAGCGACGTTTCGTGATGTAACGGTAAGTGTGGCCTTCATAGGCTGCGTCCTTTGAAGGATGCAGCCCTTGAATTGAGACACACTGATTGTCTGGTGCGCCTGTGTTCTCAGACGAAAGGTGGATATTATTAGGGTGGAACAGAGATGTCAGCCCTCGTTAGGTGGGCCACTGCGGCCCGGCGTCTCTCAGCTGCAAACAGCACAGGCATAAGAAGATGCCAAATGGCTGTAAAGACGGTTGTACTTAAAGGAAAGACTGAGATAAATCTCGCCATTCTGCTCTCTTTGATGCAGCCCCTAATCACTGTGGCTTACATCATGTAAAGTTTCTTTGCAGAACTCATTCTGACCAAATTTCGTAAACATGCACATCATTTGTGAAGAAGTTTGAATGGAAACCCAGCTATCGTGTACTACAGTGTAAGAAGAATGACTCCTCTATATATTCCTATAGGGGAAAAACAACTGTAAAGACGGGTTAAAAAGGCACAAGTGGCCTGTTTGGGAACAGGTCTATGATCACGCAAGGTTTAGTAGTTCTAGCTTGAAAGCTGTAGGTGGAGAAGAAAACACAGACCAGTAAGCTGGCTTTATCAAGCCAACCTAACACACAGAGGGTGCGATGGAGGGACATGAGAGTTTACCTGTTAATGGAATGGCAGATGCGAGGGATGAGTCTGGCGAGGAACATGAGAGATTCCCAGTGAGGAGCTTCTTTACTGGTCAGCCCGCACACGTAGCTGTACGACCGAGAGTCACCCTGCGCAAGACGAGAAATACAGAATAGAGCGAAATGTAAAAATGGTAAACCTCCATCATATATACACCTTTTGCAAGGTCACAGTGGCAGCAATACAGTACATCACTGTTGTCAGAAGAAAACCACGTATCTCCAATATGGTAACTTTATATAAGAAGGAAAAAACATACTTTATTTTTAATGTAAGTCAATGGAACCAGACTTTTTTCCTAGTCATTTTGGGTCGTTTCTTTTCGGTCCATTCATCATGAAATTTACACACAGTGTAAAGGCCAACAGGCACTTTCAAATTATGTCAAAAACTGAAAAACGTCAAAAATGGAGATACGAGGTTTTCTTCCGACAGCAGCCATATGCTAATAGAAAGGTAACAATAAAGCGACACTGGCAGCATAATACTAGTATAACGTTTACATTTACACATCTGGCAAACGTTCCGATCAAGCCTTACATTATAATCTTGTTACAAAGGTGAATGCAGCGTAAAAACTGTTGCCCACTGACTCTAATTGGTAGAGCATATATATGGTGTTTGCAAAAATGGCTCAGGTGAAAAAAGTCGACTGGTGGCAGCAGTATGTCACATTTTGGCTCATGTCCTCATGACCTCACACTTTTTAATTATCATGACAAAAATAATGGCCTATTTTTTTGACATTTTGACTTAGCTTGCCCAAAATAATGACACTACATCAAAATAATGACTCAAAGTGAATACAGTAACTCATTATATGAACATACAAGTCAAAGTCTTACTATGTCAAAAATATCGAGAAAGTAAGTAATTATTTTAAGATGTCAAACTCAGTCAAAATACAAAAAGGCTGTGTACAAAACTGTGGTTTATGTTGTGCTGGTCATATATTAATTACTAAGGTACAGCATTAAGTTCTTAATGTATAACCTGCTAAACTGGCCACCCCACCTGCACAAACTGTCTGTATACTGACTTACTCTGTTAGTAAATGTGCCCCGAATTGGCAACTCAATAAACATGAATGTGTCATCAGGGCAGACTTTGGCTTTTTATTTACTGAATTACACGTGATTCATCTGCGCAACACTTTCCTTCAAACATACAAAGGCTTTTAAGAAGACTGGTCCATATTCCAGACAGGATGTGTAACATTTAAACACGCGTAAAACTGCACGGGTGACCTGGTTGTAACTCAGTAGACAGTTATTCAGTTCTCCTTTCCAGGGCCTAGACTGAGCAGCAGCAGGGTAAATTTAGCAGTATGTGGTCCTGGGACAGGAAGTGAGGGGAAAGAACACCCAGCCCTGTTCCAGTGCATTCAGCTCAGAGCGAGGGCTGTGGGAGTAAACCGTAATTTTCACTTAAAAGCCCGGTAGAGGCTTTTCATTCACAATGGTACAGGAAACCACAAGCACGCTCATGTATATTCAATATGACAGCAAATAAGCAAGCAAAAAACATGTTAACCCAAAGTGTGGGGAGACAGTGCTAGTACAGTATATTCTGATTAGAGCTGGACAATCACTGCACAATTAAAATTCAACAGTTTTAATATCTTTTAAGGAAAATTAATATTATATTTCCACCACACAACCTCAAATATGGTGTTAATGTCTTTATGCTTTATGTTTCCTTCAATTAGACTGAAAATCAAACACTGATATACGCTTTAAAATAAAGTTCAGCTCCTCACTGCTGGGCTTTAGTTACATTTAGGGCATCATATGCCTTCAAAGAGGGGGACAATTATTTATTATCGCCCACCCCTAATCCTTCAGTGATATGAGGCTGAAGGCAGATATTCTCCAGCTTCCGTTTGAATTTTCCCGTTCCACCTTAAATGGAGCAGAAGTTACATTTTGGTGCCTTGGGCATCAGCACTCCTGCACCATTTAAGGTGGAACAGGAGATTTAGCTAGCTACCTACTGAGACATCAGCTACTACTAGCGACTTTTTATGCTTGTTCTGAAGAAAAGGACCATAATATATTGAAACAACATTAAAACTAATATAAATCAATGCTTATCATATTTTTTACTGAGAAAATTCTCACATTTGTGGGTTTCTTTGGTCTCTTCTGCAGCCATCTTGCCAGTTTTTCTTTTTTTCTCATAACACTGTTTGGAGTGTGACTCTGAAAAACCTCCGTTTGGAGGGTCATGTAGCCATAACACTCCGCCCTACCCCTCTATCTTAACAAAAATATGGCATGAAAGTCAGAACTTTTTTCGAGCCACAACGAGTCTGAATACGTGCTTTTTGCTGTCTTCCATTTACATGCACTTGCCTCAACCCGACGGACTCTACATAAAAACATGACTGATGGCTAACAACTGTGGAAAACAGCTTCAACAGCCTTGACCTTATGATTATGGAATAACTGTGAAAAGCCTAAAATAGATAGTCTGTTAACATCAGATATAATCTGCTCAGATCAGATAATAGACATGTATGCATGCACACACGCACACATATGCTCCAAGAACTTTAATAACCAGGGTGTACTGGAGGTAAAAGAGGCTGTTCTGCTTCAAATGTATGACTGTAAACAGGACTGTTGCCTAGCAGCTCCACAGTACTTCCAAACCCAGCCCGAATACATCACTGATGCTAAACAACCATTCGGAAACACAAATATTATGAAAGAAAGAGAAGGAGAGGGAAAGGGAGCCAGGGGGAGAGCAACGTAGACAGACGCAGACAGAAATAGACTCCCAGCACTGCGTCACAATGTCTGCGGTTAACCACGGTGCTGGGACGGCAGCGTAAAGACACAGCAGGCTAGAAATGAGCAGAGCAACTCGGTGCAGTACAGAAACGAGTCTGGAATGAAAAAGCCAAAGCGCTTACTTAACTCACAACTGGCGAGTCGAGACAAACCAGCTGTTTAGCTTTTCATAGTAAACTGTACTTAATCACAACAGCAAAGAAGCAAACAAACAAAACTAAATGTCCAAAAAAACAAGGAAGTCTTGGGTTACGAACTGGGACACTCGATTAGTTCACTTTAACACGGTGCTGAACTGAATATGACGCTACTCTGTTCAATCCAGCTTCAATCAAAAGCTAAAATCTGGCTTCATCTGTTATGAAGACCTAAGCAGAAATGTAAGAAAATGCCACAGGACGGCAAAAGCTCTGATGGAAGGAGGCTCACCTGGACGCCCACGGTTTTGATTGGCAGCAGGAAGGCATTTAGTGAATGAAGGCTGGTGATCTGCATCAGTTTCTCCTCTTCCTCATCTGATATGCACGACTTCACTCTCTGCAGCAGTGTGTGTGGCTGCACAGGACAAAAGTGTTTATCTCAACAATCACAACTTCTTAAAAGCAATATTTCAACCAGAGACAAATTTACATGCAAATGTAACCAGTAAGAGTGGGAAAAGTAACAGATTTATGGACGGATGGAAGATTCTGTGTAAGTCTGGGCCTACACTACCCTTTTTTTGCCCGATTTTAAGCCCGATTGCCCCAAATCTTCACAATCTGAAGGTTTTCCTCGTATCTCCATTTTTGACGTTTTTCAGTTTTTGACATAATTTGAAAATGCCCGTTACCCTTTACGCTGTATGTAAATTTCATGAAGAACGGACCAACAGAAATTACCTAATATGACTTGGGAAAATTTCTGGTTCCATTGACATACATTAAAAGTAAAGTAGGTTTTTTCCTCCTCCTGTAAAGTTACCATTTTGGAGATATGTTTTTTTTTTTTGGCCAAAAACAAACATAAGCATTCTTTTGTTTACAATAAATTGTTCTCCCCTGAATCCACTCTGTTTCTATTTCCCACATGCCTATTTTCTCAGGATTGTAGTCCTCGTGGACATTGGTGCTAAGATCTGTCAACACTACGAGTGGGTGACTCCTGCATACCTGAATAAAAATAAAAAAATTTAATGTAATTACAGTAGAGAGGAATAAAGAGGAACACTAAAGCAGGAGAGAAAAAAAAAGTGTAAAATCTGTCAAAAGTGGGAACGTGTGAAATTTGAACCAAATAAAGCGTGACACATTTGAAAAATTGTGACGGGTAAATATTTCAAGCTAATACCCCATCAACTATGTTCGTTACTTCGATCAAGAAACCCCCACCAACCTTTTTCACGCTGGCGGAGAAGTCTGTGATGATTTTCAGGACGTTGTTGGTCTCAGCGAAGTCTTTGCAGATGTACGGTTCATCAGCACAGATGACTCTAATGGCTAAACCTGGACCTATAATGCACAAAAACAGAGTTAGTGTTAATAAGCATGTTACACTCTGAAAAAGATGGTTCTTCAAAAGGTTCTTTAGTAAAGAAAATGGTTCTACATTGAATTTGCATGATTAGAGGGTTTTCTGCATTGTAAAATGGTTCTTCAGACTGATGGAGAATGTGCTGTATATGGTTCTGTATAGCACCAAAAAGGGTTTTGTTATTGTTATGATGTCAGGCTTGTCACAGTAGAGGAAACCTTTTTAGTGCTATGCACAACCATCTACAGCACATTTAACAGCAATCTGACTGACCCTTTTTACGATGCAAAGAACCCTTTAATCATGCAAAGGGTTCCTTGAGTGTTCATGGTTCTACATAGAACCATTTTCTTTACTCAGGAGCTCTTGAAGACCCATCTTTTTATTAATTAATATATATTTTTTTTAAGTGTATAGTGATATAATAGATGATGCCCTGAAGCTGATATAAGCACTAGAATAACTGCATGACAAACTCTTTATACTATATATGCACCTCATTTCTCATGTGACCGTTGTTTCGAGATTATGGCTGAAATATCCGGGTTTGGGAACAGAAGTGTCATTTGTTACTGTTTTTACTGAAGTAAAAGGATGTGCGATTACTTTTTAAGGTATCATGCTGTCCCAACAAGCAGTTAAGTTAACTTATGTGGTCACTGAAAGGATACTTCCTATTACAGTCATGCTCATTTTTGTGATGTATTTTTTCGGTGGCAGATTAATTTATACTACAACAATTATATCAGTATGTCCGTCTCTTATTCTTGATGACCTTAATCCAGGTGATTTTCCTGCTGAAGTATGCCTCCTAAACCAGGCACCTGACTGCTGAGTATCAAGGATGTTTGAGCAGGGAAAATCATCCAAATGTGCTGGACTTTGGCCCTCCAGGCCCAGAGCTGGACACCCTATACACTTAAAAAGGATGGTTCTTCCAGGGTTCTTTAATAAAGAAAATGGTTCAGTGCTTCTTTATAGAAAGAAAGAACTCTTTGCATGATTAAAAGGTTCTTTGCATCATCAAAGAGTGATGTTTTCAGGGCTGTGTGGAAACGCAAATCTGATCTTTTCAAATCCGACCTGAGCCACTTTCATATGTGGTCCTAGATCAGATGCATATCCGATTCGTGGCCATGTGACCTTAATGTGACGCTCAGATCGGAATTCATGTGCTTTTTTCCACTGTGCATGCCCATCATTCAGTGTTACCAACGAACAGATGTTAAAGCCAGTAAACGGTGGAAAAGCAACACATCACCTTTTTCTCCTTCGTCTCGCTCTAATAATGAAGCTGAGAGCTGATCAGAGTTAATGATCTTCTCAGCGAAGCTCGTTCTGCTCGTTAGTTTGTGCTGATGATGCACGTCATTCATTCACGTGACGTTACTGAGTAGGATGAGCTCATGTGGGTCATTTCAGGACGCCAGTTCGTCACATTAATGACAGATTTGAGTCACTGACCTAAATGAGTGTGACCCATCGTGCCAGAGAGATCGGATTTGAGCAAAAAATCGGATTTGAGCAATGAGGCTTGTAATGTGAACGTAGCTATTGAACCTTTTTGAAAAGGGTTCTCTCTAGCACCAAAAAGAGTTCAACCATTGTTACAGGCTTGACATCATCTATATAGAACCATACCCTGAAGAATCTGCAAGGAACCTTTTAATCATGCAAAGGGTTCTTTCAGTGTTTATGGTTCTATATAGAACCATTTTCTTTACTAAAGAACTCGGGAAGAACCATCATTTTAAAAAGTGTAGTATTCCAGTATCAGATGTTTCTCTCAGCATGTTTAAAGGGGCTGAATAATGATGCATGGGTTCTTCAGACCGGCTGTTTGTGTGGGCTTGCGAAGCTCTGGCCGGTACTCACCAGGGAAAGGGTGTCGAGAGACGATCTCCTCGGGAAGCCCCAGCTCTCGGCCCAACGCCCGCACCTCATCCTTGTGGAAATCTTTCAGCGGCTCGATTACTTTGCCCTGGCGGCCAGATAGTCAGCACATGCACAGAAGCAGGGATAGAAAGATAAGTCACATTGTCTGGCATGAGTGAGCTAAAAATGCAGGAAAGGCTGCTGCTGTTCTTTGCTAGACTGAGCTGATTTTGACACAGGAGACACATTAAGATACTCTCTGTGTTCCAAGATGTCGGTTTTCAAACAGGGAAATGTACATACATCACAATATTAGCACAAATAATGAATAATAAATGCAACAGAGGTCAAACAATAAAAGACAGGAAACAGAAGCAGAATTTTAATTGGCCTCAAAGCAAACCGTGTGAGCTTCTGCAAAACCCTGTGCTTCCCCCTCTGTTTGTTTGTTTGCTTGTTTATTTATTGCTGTTTCAAAGTTTGCCTGTAGGGTCTTCCAATAGGGAAAGAGATTATGTAATCCATACTGCAGCTTAACAGCTTCACAGTACTACTGACTGTTGTATGTTTTAATGTGTATGTCTGTATTTTTACACATCACTGTGTATATTTTGTTTACCATAGAACTACTTTTTGTTCCCAAAATACCCCTTTAACATCTAAAAATACCATGTGGCGTATAGCTGATGACCATTGTTTAAGTTATTACTATTTATAAAACGGATAGTCCTGGTCCTAAAATCTGATTGGCTGAGCTGCGTTTGAAGCCATTGTAAAATCCATGACATACCATGGCTGTGACCTCCTCACAACAACTGAACTCTGTATCACTGCACCATGTCACGAAAACACCCTTCTGCTGTTACTGGATTCATTTTTGACTGTAACGCTGATCGCACAGAGCACTGAGTGTACTGATGAAGTAAGAGCCTGTTTTTGTTTAAACTGGGTACCATCTCTGCTCAAAGGGCTGAAAACTTACTTTCTTATCTAGAACTCGACTGGTCAGCTAGCTAACAGGCTAAAAGAGAGCAAACATGCTAAACAACTCCATCATTAATATCACAGACTTGAATTAAAGTACTCACGATATGATTCACTGATCTAAAAAAATGTCACCTGAATGTCTTACGCACTTCAAATGTCTGTGTTTTAGTGCGAAGTAGCGTCAAACCCAGACTGAGTCCCAACGGCTCCGTGCTCCCTAGCTAAACAGTGTGTTGTGTAACATTAAGAAATTCTAGCTTCTGCTGTCTAATAGTGACTGCTAGTCGAGTTTGAATGTGGACGAATCCCAAATGACCATCTGTAGTGATATTTTGCTCTGTTGGGCTGCAGGAGTCAGTATTTAAATTCCTACATTGTGCACTATGTAGGGAGCAGGGAGCCGTTTGAGATTCAGCCCCAGCGTGAGAAAAGTGGCGTCATCAGACTGGCAGAAGACTCACGGTGGTGATTTGGTGACCAAAAAGAACTTTGAAAGCTTTTGAAAGCTTTTGCACTAAACAGTGCTGTGTTATCATATTTTCACTGTTATACGAAAAAAGTTTTTAAAAAATCATGAAATGTCTGCCGTTTACAGTGATGAGCGACTGAACGTTCTTCTCCTCATTCATTCAGCAGTCAATGGTTGCTTAGCAACAACAGTGTACTCTGAAGGAAGTACATTATTTGGCGGAATACTTGTTTATGTTGCTTATTATTAATAATAACTTAAATAATTATCTAAAACATTGTGCATTTAAATCTATTTTATGTTGGCCGCCATTTTATAAAAGCACTGAGTTACTGCGATTTTATCACAGGGAAGGAAGTTTTAAGCACTTGTGCCAAAGAACATGTTTCCCCGTGATAAAATCGCAGTAACCCACAAGCAATGAACAAATGTTGTGCACTAACTATTAACACTGCTTTATTACTTCAGCAGCAGCACTGTTGGCTGATGCATGACTTCAACGTCAGGTCGTACCTCGTCTCTGAGTTTGCGGATGAGCTCTGTGTCGTTGTGGTGCGTTTTGATGACCTCGGCTTTGCCGCTGGCCAGGTGAGAGGCGCTCTCGATCAGGTCCGGTCTGAGCGTGCCCTGTGCCAGGTACACTTCTTCTGGCTTCAGGTTCATCTCACCAATCACCTCATTCGCCACCTGCATGGCACAGCAGAGAAGCACACAAGTCACAAACAGGAATAAAGGCAAAACTGTACATTTGGTACTAATCTGTGACTTCAGCTTCGCAGTGTATCGCTGAATTCTGAGACTACATGTAAAGGCCAACATCAGTCAATATTTTATATACACACATATATATATATACATACACACACACTATACACACACACACACACACACACACACACACAATATTAGTATTATATTTTATACTTTCAAATATGGTGAGTTTCTGACTTATCAGAACAGAAGGAAACGTTTCCAACTAGTACACACTTAAAAATATGGTTATTCAAGGGTTTTTTTACTAAAGAAAATCATTCTATATAGAACCATAAACATTCAAAGATCCCTTTCCATGATTAAAGAGTTCTTTGCTGGACTCTGGCCCTCCAGGCCCAGAGCTGGACACCCTACATACTTTAAAAAGATGGTTCTTCCATGGTTCTTTAATAAAGAAAATGGTTTTATATACAAAGAAAGAACGCTTTGCATGATTTAAGTGTTCATCGTTAAAGGTTCTTTAGATTGATGATGAATATGTTGTAAATGGTTCTGGTATAGAACCGTTTGAAAAAGGTTCTATATAGCTCCAAAAAGGTTTCTTGCATTTTAACAAGTCTGACATCCTAACAATACCAGAACCCTTTTAAAAAAGGTTCTATCTTGCACCATCTAATGCACATTCTCCATCAATCTAAAGAACCCTTTAATCATGGAAAGTGTTCTTTGAATATTCACGGTTCTATTTAGAGTGATTTTTGTTATTAAAGAACCCTTGAAGAAACATCATTTTTAAGTGAGTAGTTAACAGCTATAGCAAGCCAAGCTCAAGGTCCACTAAGAGCCTTCAGCTTTCATCACAGTTCAACATTCCCTGCCTTCTAACATGGTTAATACTTAATTAAAATGAATAATTAATTAATATTTAATTAAAATGAATAATTAATTAATATGTAATTAAAATTCAATCAGGTCCAGTTAGAGAAAATCTCCTCAAGCAAAGGTCCAGAACATCATAATGTCTAACTTGCATCATGACTCAGTGCCAAATACTGTTAACTGAAGTAGCCTAGTAGTTATATCAACATCTTATACAGTCAACAACTGAATATCAAATCAAATAAAGTACAATTCAGTCATATTTCAACAACATTTACTGTCAGTTTTCTCTTTTTAGAGAACACTGTGAGAAATAATCTGGCTCACTTTCTTCTCCGACAGCTCTGTCTCGCCTCGTCCCTCCCCTGTGTGTGCATCACTCACTCGAGTCTCAGTGCTCATCGTAACGCACGAATCTGATTGGCTGAGTCGCATATGATATTTACATGTATGCGATTGGTCTGTGAGTCTCCGGCCACTAAAGCGGCACTGTAATGACTAGAAAAGTTACGCAGATTAAAACAGGACCACCCCATCGAAATTAAATAATTCTCCATAGTTTATCAGTTAAAGGTCGAGGTCCACATAGGACAGCGTCTGGGTCTGGAGTCGGACCGTCGTCCGCCTATTAGTGACCTCTGCCCCTAAACAGACAGATATGAGCCACCTGTCAATAAACACAATGACCATGCAAGCACAGTTCTTCTACACACCTTGACGAAGGTGTCGCCGATGATCTTCCTCTTTTCCTCAGGGTTGGTGGTCATGTTAAGGGTTTTGCTGATGCGTTTCCTGGGTGTCCGGTCCTCCTCCGAGATGGGGAGCGTCGTGGTGCCATTGTAGAACGTGTGCGCCGCGTTTACCACTATGCAGGGAAGAACGAGAGATCACTAAGTTTCGAAGTTACTTTCCACTATAAACAGTCATTTTTTTCTATATCAAAAAAAGTGTGTTTGAACAATTTTTTGATAAAATGCCGACTTTTATTTACAGTTGTGCGGAAAAGTTTGAACACCCCTCAGTCAAATATCATTTTGTTGATTTTTCGAAGAAATATGGAATTTTTCTGCTAATTTATATGCATAAAAGAAAAAATATACATATTAAAAGTGCCATAACATTTGCACAGGTCACATTCTCTCTTTTTCTCCAAATATGTTAACAGTCAACATAAATTGTGCAATAAAATGTGTGAAGTGTACTCACTGCAGAAGATGTGTGAACTCATTTTCACTTAGAAAATGAACAAAACGTGTCATTTAAACAAGTCTGGGTGTCCAAACTTATGCATATGATGGCATATCTTAAATTATTCTTACTTTAATTTCCTTTATTCACAGTAAACAGATTATTTATACCAGTATAAACTACTATTTAGAGTTCAAACTGAAATTTTGAAAAAAAAGCCTGTAATTATCGATGATTATGAATATCAAGCAACATGGAAATAGACACTGTTTTGCTTTCATGCCATTCTGTCCAGCCTGTTATTAATTAGCTTTTAAATTGAGTGTAATCTGAAAGGACATAAATAAAAAGCTTTTTAGTGATTTAGAATAAACGGTAGTTACAATACCCTTAAGTTTAATGCCGAGTTTGGTGAGTGCCTCCTCCACGCTCTGGCTCTCTCTCTTCCTCATGAAGCCGTTATCGATGTGGACGGCGATCACTTGATCCTGGTTCAGAGCCTTATTCAGCAGGGCAGTGCATACTGTGGAGTCCACACCACCGCTCAACAACACCTGCACACAGATTTGAAGAAATTCTCAGCACTGACATCCCTCAACAAAACCTGAAGTGCATCTCTGAAACATGTTTAAAACCACATATTCACAGTGTAATTTACTGCCGTCGCAGGAGTGGCTGCCCTCTGTACCCCCAGCAAAGTCAAAAACACAGTAAACAGTACGTGAGGCATGGCGTCAGGGGCTGAGGGACAGTCGAAAGGATCTAAATCCAATATAGGCCTCCATATATTCACTAGAGATAAGGCCCAATTTACAGAAGCTAAAGGAGGCAATCGCCTAGCTTGAGGAAAGAGCACAGATTAATTGGAGCTTTTAATTACTTGCCCTCATACCACACACATGCAATTGAGCACACACACACACAGCCCAGCTCTGCCTCAAGTCCCTGGATTACTCAGAAATGAGAGGAATTAGTCTGCGTATAATGATCAGATCTGAGCCTGAAACTGTATGCATTTAAATGAGGTCATTAGATCTAATAAGATTCCACACACATTGCTGGGGTCCACCGCACAAATATAAACTCCCACAGAGCTGCCCCACACCTGGTCCAGTCTATTGGGGCTTCTCTGAGTATGTATTATAAGGATATGAGCACTACAGCAAAATATAAACAACTGAAGACTTTCATTGAAAATGCTGCATATCCATTCATGATTTTGGTTTTTGGGGAAAATAGTTGATGTTTAACGAAAAACCCTCATTTCTCTAAAAGGTGGTATTAGTCATAATATAGCATTGATATTCCTTGTATGTGTAAAACCCGCTCCCACAAACATAAGAAATTCCTGAAAGTGGTCTATAATGAGTTTTGGCATGAAACCCTTCAATTATTCCTGGACTCTAAGGGTAGGTTTTACTCTTGACCTACAAGGCAAACATAGCCAACAAGTACTGGAAGCTTATACCCTCTCTAGGGCTGGTCTAAACCAGTGGTCACACACTCGTTCTCAAAAAAAAAAAAGTTGCTTTTATTTATTTCATTAATGTGTTTCTTAATTCATTCTTAGGCATCGTTTTAGCTTCAGCCACATGGAAAGCAGTGCAGTTGGCAGCTGTCTGAAGTGAGGTGATGTGGATCCCTAGCATGAATTTACAATTCATTCCACTAAACCACTCATTTTCCATATATTAACAATAACCACTCCTTTGCTGATGAAGTGTGTTGTGGCATAAGCTACTTGGAATAAAAGATAATGCATCCAAATGCAAAATACAGAATCAAATACTAACGTAACTAGGGGGGCGGGAAAAAATCGATTCTTAGATGCATCGCGATGCAGACGTGGACGATTCTGAATCGATTCACAAATGTCAAAAATCGATTTTCTAAATAATTAATTTATAACGTAATGTTGACGGAACGCACAGGGCGGAACTTGAAAGTGGGTAAGTGCAGCGCCCGGACAGTCTGTGGCTGCACATAACAAAAACACCACTGGAGTGAGAGAGAAATCCGACCAGCACCCTCTGCATTAAAAGCCAGGTTCAAACCACCTTGGGAGCCACAACATTTATGTCCAGTATGTCTCAGTATGTGATGATGTCCTAGTATAGACTAAACAATATAAACAAAAACGCAGACTTACTCTACTCTGCTTTAAGCTTTAGCCATAGCCACTTTCCTTCCATCTCCGCCAGAAAACTTTTCCTCAAAAGTTAAATAGTTTCTTGTAAAATGTCTCTCAGCTTTCGGCTGTTTTATGAGTTCTCACTCGCCAGCTTCTTGCTGAACTTTCCAGTTCCACCTTAAATTCTGACTGAGACACCGAATGTAATTGCGGCACCAGTTAAGGTGGAACAGGAAAATTAGAAAGAGAAGCGACTTCGTCTTTGCAACTTTTTAGTGTTTGACAGTCTCTCGTTGCAGATTGAACTTACCAGGAAACCAAGCGAGCTGCTTGTAAATGCGAATAAGTCCGTTCATCTCCAAATGTTCGTCTGTCTTTCTCTCTTTCTCTTTTCCTTTTTCGTTCGCTACTAGCCAGGCGAAACCTCGTTGCTACGTGACCGGCAGTCTTTCATCTGCAGTTCTCTTGCCACATCGCTTCCATTTGTTTTATTAATAAAAGATATTGGACGTAAATGCATTATGGATCATTACAAATACTTTGTTTTAAAACTACCAAGTCCTCAGACAGTAAGAAAATAGAAATCATGTATAGAGATGCATCGAGATGCATCGATAATCGTTTTATAATCGCATCGCAGCCCTCTCAATCGTAATCGAATCGAATTGTGAGATGCCTAAAGATTCCCACCCCTAAACATAACTAACGAATACTCAAGTGTTTGAATTATTTGGGCAGCTCTATATCCAATTACCACTGTGCAAACTGTGTGCCTAACCCAATTACACCTAAAATACGATAACCATCTCTGCATCGGACTGAACTGCTTGTCCTCTATGGCAGCTGAGGAAGCACACTGACGCCTGGACAGGCTTGGCTGTCGTTATAGTGCCCTTTGCTGTAACGCTCAGAATGCAGCTTGTGCTTGCACTGCATTATGAAACACGCGTAACATCTTTAAACGTAACTATGCACGAAACCCTGTCTGCGTAGGGCGAAGCGTCTGCGTTTGTGTCCTTGTGTGAAGTATGTCTCTGGCCTTACTGATGCGGAGAAAAACATTACTAAAAACAGCGCCCATCCTTCCTTCATTTTGTCTGGACTTTTGCCCACTTTCTTTTTATCTCACCAGCACTTTGGACTTGTCCACTTTCTCCCTGATCTCTCGGATGCAGGCTAGCTGGCGGTTCTGTACGGTGAAGTTACTGGTACAGCCAGCGATCTCGAACAGGAAGTTCCGCAGCATGTCCATGCCCCGCTCCGTCAGATCCACTTCAGGGTGAAACTGAGTGCCATAGAGCTTCTTCTGTTCATTAGCAATGCCTAAAAACAGACAGAGTGACAGGACACATTAAAGCCAGAGGATCCAACTTCAGCCAAAGAACAGCACAGTTTTGAATTTCTGCACTAAAACAGTTGATTTAGTTAAAATACCACCTATAAATAAATCAATGTGGCCACTTCACACACAGAAACGGGCAAAGTAGCTAAGCCTATCACAATTATTACATAATCGATTTGCACTAATTGCAATAATTTAAGCTAAACACAGGTATTTTCTGCACTTGTGAAATTTCACAATCATATGTTTACATCGCTACAAACAGAATTTGAAATAGCATCGTTTTAATCCATTAGGTTGAGGAAAATACAGTAAATAAAGGGAAGTAGAAAACACATTTACAGACACACCAAAGGTCTCACCAGAACAGCAAAAGTTCTAACTTCTGACGGTGAAGAATGTTTTTTTATGTTTGTTAACAGCCCCTTTTAGACGGCAGAAGCGAGTAATGTTTGTTTATTTGAGCTACAGCTGTTTCTCTCATCAGTTGGAAGCTACTAGGTATCAACAGCTGGAAAGTAAGGTAGCCTAATAGCCAATTAGGTCAGTTTGAGCCTGTACTGTAATAGATATACAATGAACAAAAATAGGACAATTCAATCAGTCATTTCCACACTAATTAGCTAAAATTTCATGATTGTGAAGCTTAGCAAAATGGGTTCAACTCAAAAAAATAAAAAAAAAAAATAAAATTAATAAGCTTACTAATCCCTGCAGGATGATGCTACACATGTTAAGGCTACAGAAGGCACGATAACATTGTCTCTTTTCTGATACTGATAATGAAACGTTGATAATCGGCCAATATTGACACTTATTTTGTGTTGTCTTTAAAAGCGTAGCTCAAATATTAGGTATTTGTAATTCAAACACTTACAATATTTTAAAAATAGCCTATCATGCTAAAACGACTCAAACACTCTACTAGCCTTCAGGAAGAAACACACAGCCAACAAAACTGTGATCCTGAGCTATTTCAGGCTGGAATTGCTACAGGATTGGATTCACTCCAGCATTTTCTGCAACTGGCTCAATACTAAACCCTGTTATTTCATCAGTGCCATCTCTGTTTAAGGCAATTCAATAACTGAGTCAATATCTGAACGGTATTTATTGACGTTTTTATTTTTTCCACATATAAACTTAATTAATCTAAATCCTCACACTGGTTAAAAGCTAAACTCAATGGTGCTAAAAGGAACGACAAGTAATTTCATGTTTAACTTGTAAATCAGGAACAGAATGTTAACACGGTTGATTCAAGCCACCCAACTACAATACACTTCAGACGGGTACAAGCAGGGAGATATGATAATGACGAGTCACCCCAAGGGCGAAACAGGCATATGTTTCCTTTTCCTACCTGCAATAATGTTGCCAGACTGGGCGACGACTTTGAATCCGTCTGCTACTTTATCCACACTGTCACCATGGGTCAACAGCACCATCTCCTCTTTCTGTAGTCCCCTACACACAGATATAAACACATACCTCACAGGTAATTCAAAAACACTTCAAAATAAATAAATAAATAAATAAATAAATGAATGTGTGTAGTAATTGCATTTTAAACGTGAGACTCACCTGAAAAGTGAGCAGGAGTTGTCTATCCCGATGCTGAACACACCATCTTCTCTGACGCTTTTTCTGTGCACCGTGCCGCCGAACACTTTATTCATCATCTGTTCCACACATCAGACAGGCAGTGAGATATACTGAATCTGCTCTGTAGGTATTGATACTAGGCGTGGGCGATATGGCAAAAATATCATTTCACAATTTTTTTTTCACGATTTTATCACGATTCTTTTTCATGTTGGTTTCATGTTACCAAACAGTACAACCAAACTAATCTCCCCACTTAAAAATATAGTAAGAAATAAGAAAATAACAACAGACCAAAAGTACCAGAGCCAAAGTACCTTTTTGAACAGATTTTAATCTGTGTGCACGTCAAAAAATTAACATTGGTTTAAAAAGGTAAACACCACCACCAATCAGGTAAAGTGCACTCTGCATAACAGCCAGCACCACTTCTTGTTCCCAAAAAAATACATAAATAAATAAAAAAATAAAAAAAACTTCGAACGTTTTGAACTTTGTTTTCTATCTTGGCACGACATTCAGTGTACATCCGTGGAAAGGCGGTGTTGGAAAAGTATTTGCGGCTGGGTAACTCGTACTCGCGGATCAACTACTTTGAGGAGTCTTTGGAACCCCTCGTTTTCCACTGTTTTGATAGGAACCAGATCCTTTGCCAGATAAAATGTTATTGCTTCTGTCACCTCGTCTTCTCATATGGAGCGCCTCTCTCAAATGCTTGCGTTAGCGTTGTTGGTTTTGGTCTTGCTGTATCGTTAACGTTAGCCTCTGCTGGCTGCGGTGTAGTGGACCTCCTCAGTGCTTGACTCTCAGCTTACTGTTTGGGATGTTGTTGCTTTAAATGGTTGAAAAGGTCTGTCGTGCTGCCGTCCGACGTGAGAACCTTCTCTGTGCAAATCACCATGGTTTGTGTCACGTCAGTTTGGGAAAATCCAGACCAGTTCCATATTACTGATGTTGACTTTTTTGGGGGGACTAACTGTTCGCCGGTGTTTCCATTCACGACTTCCCGCTTGTGAAAAAGCGAGGCATGATGGTACGCTATGACTGGTTTATCTGCGTGTCTCTAGGGTGGGCATGAAAGGGACTAGCAAATAGTGCGCTTTGAATGGGGGAAAACAGAAACCCACATCGCTTGTATGTGCATAGAACTGCAGCGGATATGATGGGCATTGTAACACGATCCAACAATCTCCCTGTGACGGCGTATCGTGGACACATTATAATCCTTCACGATCTGATATTGTCATATCGCACAGCCCTAATTGATACTACAGTGTTTCCCACACATTTGCTGATTGATACCCATATCGTCAAATAATCTCCCCCATCCCCTCATGGTGCTCCTCCTGGGTTTGTTTCAGATCTGTGGGAAACACTGCACTGCTGTACTGAATGTAATGGTGCACCAGAGATATAAAAATGCTTTTTTGCATTGTGAATTTGGTGTTTCTTCTTATTTGCACTGACTTTCGAATATAAGAACTGATTATTATATTGTAAATTCCTTTAATAACCTACAGTACCTACTCCTTTTTTGGCCTTAATGATTTCTCTGGCTATTTTCAAACATAAAAAAATGCAAAAATAAAGCCTGGTGTAGTGGTTTAATTGTCTATATTTCACTACTGTGTACGTCACAGTCACACCTGTGTTTTTTTGTGTTTCTAAAAGCAATTCAGGGCACACAAAACAAAAAACAAACAAACAAGTAAACAAACTCCCAACGCTAAGTGACCACTCGGATTTCAGATATTTCCCCCTCTAATACAAAAAGACTAATAAAAAGAAATAATGGATGTCACACCAAAAAAGAAAAGGACCATCCTAGAGCTGCAACAATTAATCAATTAGTTGTCGATTATTAAAAATAATTGGCAACTACTTTGGTAATCAATTCACTGGTTTGAGTATTTTTAATTTAAGAAAAAATTTAATAATTCTGATTCCTGCTTCTTAAATTTGAACATTTTCTGGTTCCTTTACTCCTCTGTGACACCAAACTGAACATCTTTGGGGTGTGGACAAAAGACATTCGAGGACGCCATCTTGGGCTTTGGAAAACACTGATCAACATTTTTCACCATTTTCTGTCATTTTATAGACAAAACAACTAATCGTTTAATCCAAAAAAAAAAAATCAAAAAAAAAAATCAACAGATTAATCAACAACGAAAATAATCGTTAGTTGCAGCCCTAGACCACAAGATTGTTACCAGCATAAAGCTCAAAAGCCAGGGTCTACCAATGGTATGGAGGGTATTAGTGTGTAACTTGTGCTTCCGAGAAATCACCATTAATGCAACACATGCTGCCTTTTAGACGCTGTCTTTTTCAGAGACGTCCATGTTTACTTCAGCATGACGGCAAAAAACATTCTACACATCACCACAGCAATGGGTGCATAATCAGAGAGAGCGGGTGCTCGAATGGCCTGCCTCCAGCGTTCAACTGTAACCCTGACTTCTATAACAAAAGAGTAGCAAAAAATTCCGCTTTCGGTCCCCAAACAATAAGAATTGTTAAAAGGAAAGGTGATGTAACCGTGGTAAACATACTCCTGTCCTAACTTTTCTGGAACGTGTTGCAGGCAATAAATTTGGAACGAGCGCATATTTACAAAAAAATTACATTCATAAGGTAAAACATAAAACATTGTGTTCTTATGCTGTTTTCAGTTTAACACAGGCCGTCAAATTAAAGCTAGGCGATATGACGATGTTTTATCATTATTGTGATTAATTATGTGACAATACCCTTTTCTAAGCATATCGCTGATATCATCAGCACTTAAGACCACTAACGTTTCTTTGCAAAGTGATCATAATTAGACCTGTTTAACTGGATTAAATACAATAAATCAGACTAAATTAGACCGAATAAAAATCCATTATTATTATTACTTTTATTTTTATTATCAGTATTATCATCAATATATTATTAGTACTACAGGTTCTATTTTGTCTGTTCCAACTTACCAAATCTCCAAACTACTAAATATCAATGCGTACCGAGCATTGTGAAAATGTCTTGAGGAATCATGATATAATATTTTTGCCATATTGCCCACCCATAGACACAGATTTCACATAGATTTCACTAATAATAGCTTTTGGTTTTTATTAGCATGTCTCACGCTGTCCCATCTTTTTCTTTACTGGAACTGGGTTTGTAAAGACATCATGAAAATATCTCAAATTTCATGATTTGATTTTCATGATGCTGTGAACTAATCAGTAAGATCTAACTCCTGCGTATCTACTGAAGGACCCGCTACCTCAAGACGTTAAAGCTCCTCCTCACCTGCATGCCATAGCAGATTCCCAAGACAGGTTTTCCGATGGTGAATATGGCGGGGTCAAACCAGGGCGCATCCTCTGCGTAGACTGAGTTAGGACCGCCAGATATGATGATGGCCCTGAGAACAGATGTGCATGTTTTAACACAGTGTAAAGTACACGCCAAACCCTGGACCGTCCAATACATCCAGGACATTTGATACCTTTAACCTCTTCAACTCCTTGAGACCACCAGTGGTCCCAAAACGTGCTTCGTCATATTCTTCATAACTTTCATATTTCATAAGCTACATTCAAAAGGTGGGGGTCATATGAGGCTGTAACTGTCTTCTTTCCAGTCTAATAGATGGGTGATGTAATTTTAAACCCTTATAATAAAAGAAGCTGAACTCATTTTTTTGTTTCTACTGAAAGTCGACCCATTTTTCCACAAATCTGGGCTATAAACTATAAACAGATGGCGTCTCTTCAGTGATCTGCTCTGTAAAAATTATGTTTATAAAAAAATACAAAGAGCGTCTAAGATGTTTGGCTTTCAGCAGTCAATTGTAAGCATAGCAATGTGTATGAGCATAAAATACATGATAAAATAAAATAAATAAATAAATAAATAAAATTAAAATTACATACATTTGATGCAGTGAAATAATCTGCCTTACGATTTGGTCATGTAAATTCAGATGGAAAAACCAAAATATACCCTGGAGAATAAGAGGTTAAAATGCGCTCACTTTAACCTCTTATGCTCGTGGGTATATTTCAGTTTTGACTGAGCTGTAACAGTGCTGTAGTTGCGAGGATCAGACGTGATTTAACGCTGCTAAAGCTTGTTAGGATGTAAGGAAAGAGGTGAGTTCACTGTAGGTCAGTGTAGTTACGCCATTTATCTCGTCACTCACACTTGGTCACAGGAGAACTGATCACCGGTCGCTCCACTCAAACGGGGAATACATAACGCCACGTTTCAGACGTTGCTAAGGTATATTCGGCGACTTCTTTTACTCTTTGCCCCCCAGTCATGTAGAAAAACTCAGAAGTGCGCCCTCTCATGGTGAAAGCAGAGTAGTGTCGCTTTCCTTGCAGCAGAAAACGCCACGGCTGTCGCTAAAACATATAAGTGTGAGAATGGTGTATTATATCAAACATTTATTATCGCTCTATCGAGGAAAGTTATATCGCGATAATTAGCGTTATTGTTTTATCGCCCAGCCCTACTTGTATCCGATTACATTTTCAATCTGAAAGTTTAAGTCTGTTCTGATCATGTTCGTCACGTCATAGTGAAAGTTTAGACCGTTCAACATGGCGGAGCAGAAACTGGTCTGCAGAGGAGACGAAGTTTATGCTCTGATCTTTAAAAGACGGCCGTGGGACGGACGTCCAGCTTATGTGTCTCAGAACACGACGTCTTCCTCTCGGCCTTCTTTAATAAGGACATGTGAAGGACGTTTTCCTGAGTCTGACATCATTTTAAAGTGATTAAAAACACAATCACTGCTCACTGCTGCTCATCTCACTCTGACTGGACTCACGTGATGCTCGCTGTCAAGGTAACGTTTACTCTAAGTGGATCTCCACGCATGCGCGTCACTTTGGATCGGATTACTTGTAGTGAGCATGTAAACGAAGATTTTAATCAGATTGTTGAGTCGAGTGAGCAGATAAACACCTCAGTCTTAATCTATAATCGGCATATATTCAATGAGACTGGCAAAAATCTTTGCATGTAAACACAGCCAATGTCTACCGTAGAAAGTGCTATATAAATAAAACTGACCTGAACTGAATAAATCATGAAGAATGCCAGCATGTTATCCGCTGTAACACTGAATTCAAACTCGTTCAGAAAACTTTCCCCCTTCATAACAAAGCAGACTAAAATACTGATGCAAACAAAACTGGCTTTTCAGGACTATAATTATGCAGAGAGAAATCTCACAGTTTGTCCTGAAGTGACTCTGCTCAGTGCTCTCCGTACTCTAAACTGACTGCTTTAGCATCCCCGCTAAATCACAGTACGATAAAATTGCTATTTATACAGCTTCAGACAGCGTAGCACGGCCTTAAGTAGGTTTCATCTTCTTCACGAAGCAATAAACAAACAGGAAGCCTCCCTGTTTATTCAACTGAACTCCCACAGGACCGCATGTATCCAGCATCTCTGGTCCAGAATGAAAAAGCACAGTGAATTCAACATGTTCATTTCTCCTTATGTCCCCACAGAGAGGCCAGGAGAGACAAATCAAATTCACACATTTGCTCACACAGTATGTGGTAACAATATATTCGCTGCATGTTGTTGAGCGTGTGTGTCTGTGTCTCAGCAAGACTCCTATTGTGCTCTAAGGTGCTGTGCCACTCTGGCCAGCGAATGCGTGGGCTGGCTGGGAAAGGCGCGATAAGCAGGGCAGGAATTGAAAGAGAAACAGTGACGTCCGACGGGCGAAAGAACGGTCCAGAAAGCATTTCAAAGGAAGGCACAGGGAGTCTTGTGAGAAAAGGAAAAGGAGCCAGGGAATTTACTCTTTAAAATCAGCCAAAAGTTCTCCCAGTGAACTGCTCTGTGATCAGCTAAATGAGTGGAGAACAAGGCAGAACTCAAAGCACTGTGCGAGTTTTTTATGGGACCCTTTTACGGGGCTTTAAAAGAGAGGAGCGAAGTGAGTAAACAAATTGTGATGTTCAATAAACTGGTCATGTTCAAAAATCAGCATTAAAGGGCTCATATCACCGATAACTGGGGTCCCTTCACTTTAATAAGAAGTGGATGTTTTAAAAAGTCCATATCTGGAAGCCAAGCTGCCAAAACAGCCTGTTTTGAATTATTCATACTTTGTGAGGTCACAAAAACAAACACATTTACATACACCCACGTATTAATCACACATCAGTCTAGTCTCTTTGTCCGTTTAAGTTGAAGTTAGGAGTGTTTCCGCCTGGAAGGCATATTCAATGATACACAGATGAGCCTTAAAGGCACGGTAACAAAAACAGTCTGTTTAATTCTAAGGGATAAACAGAGGTTTAAGGAGGGTCAGGTAGAAATGAATGGCTGTTTTTGGTACATAAACCCACTCAAACATACGTGCCCTTTAAAGCCTTTGGTAAATCTGGCTCTTAAAGCAATAGTTTGTGACAAACTATTTCCTACTCCAACTGTAAGGAATCAACCATGTTTGGTGCCCGAAGTTAGCTTCTATTACCCAGGCTATGAAGCCGAGTAATAGAAGCTTATACCCCACCAATAAGCACTGAGTTGTTAATTAAACTAAAATAGAACTGCTTACTTGCTGACAACTGGTGTGTGTGTGTGTGTATATATATATATATATATATATGTATAAAAAGAGAGAACAGATAAGAATAAAGAAAGCTCAGATGTGCTTTACTACAATTTTCTTATGTAATCATATTATTATTATTATTATTATTTTATTATTATCATTATTTATGAAACACAAGACAATGGAAAAACATCACGGACAAACAATTATTGTCACAGCATGTAACATAAAATACTATTCCTAGGGATCCTACCCAATCTGGCAACCCTATCCAGGTCGCTGAGACTGTTTAAACACGTCTTAATACGTTTCTTTCTGCTCCAGATGAACGGCTCGCTGGCCAACTCACTGTTGCTTATTCTCCAAATAAATGAGGTGGAGAAAATGCCAGCTAGCGATCCAGAGCAGCAGGAAAAGCATTTAGACTTGTTAAGGTGATTAAACCAATATTAATCACACAAAGCTGAAGTTGGCTTCTTATTAAAATTTTCCATTCCACCTTAATAGTACAGGTGCCAATATGTAATTGCTGCATCATTTAAGGTGGAACAGAGTATTCGAATGAGAAGCTGGAGAACAGGAAAGCAAACTTCAGCCTCGTCGTTATCTCCTTAAATTCAAGCTCTAATATAAGCAGATAGGAGCGGAGTCTAAACAGCTGCACCTCTAAATGATACCAAGATATCACCACAGCTCTAAGAGCAAAGGACCATTTGACTGATGGTTGGTTTTGCGCAACATGCGTGCAGGTTCTCCTGCTCTTTTTTAGATGCAATGCTAATACCCACCAGTGCTGACCATCACCAGGCCGATAAAACAATGCAGCGGGACACTGGCTTCATAAATACATTCGCTACAACCCTAAAAATAATTATTTTAAGAGTTTGGGGACACTGCTAAGTCTGCCGCAGAGTGGACAAACTGCCCCGTGAGGTATATCTCGCCTCACCTGAAGCCCTGTTCTCTGATGGCGAAGGCTGGGGTCTCTAGTGGCAGGATCTCCGACTGGACAAACAGCTCTCGCACTCGCCGGTCAATCACCTTCCCATACTGTGCCCCGGCGTCAAGGATGACCACGGCCCCCTCATAATCACACAGTGCATCTTTAGGTTCGCCACTGATGTCCAGCTGCAAGAAGAAAAGAAACTGTCAATCTGTACGGGTTAAGCAGGAAGAACTGACATCCATTAAGCCTCGTGATGAAATTAAGAAACACGTGAGCCGCACGAGAAGAGCATGACCGCTTGACCACAGTCTACACGGACATGCCTCTTCTGGTTTAACACAAATGCAGACATGGGGAGATCAGATAGGTGATCCTGGCCTCATGGCAGGCATAAACCCAACTATGAAATAGGCCTGACCACAGCTATGCTCGACGCAGACCCTGTGGACACTAGAATCAGTCTTCACAGCCTCACTATGGCAAGCATGCGGTCCTTCTAGATCGAGGGGTTACAGTGTGTTCCCTGTTATATATGCCACACATGGCCCTTTATGGTTGGATATATAGTATCTCTGACGTGGAGTGGCTCACATGGCAAAAATACAATAGTTCATGACAGGGGTACAACGATTATTCGACTTAGTCGACTAAAATCGACGAGCAAATTACCTGGCAACTAATTCAATAGTCGACTGGTTGGTGACGTCATCACGCATGCGTGTTTCTCACGCTCACTACGAATGTTTTGCTGTGTCTGATCCACTCAGATCAGCACAACGCACACTAACACACCACCTCCACCGTGTCAGTGTTACTGCAGTGCTGAGAATGATCCACCACCCAAACAGTACCTGCTCTGTGAGGGTCCATGGGGGTCCTGACCACTGAAGAACAGGGTAAAAGGGGGCTAACAAAGTATCAGAGAAACAGATGGACTACAGTCTGTAACTGTAGAACTACAAAGTGCACCTATATAGTAAGTGGAGCTGATAAAATGGACAGCGAGCGTAGAAACAAGGAAGTGGTCATAATGTTATGCCTGACCGGCGTAGATGGGCGACACGGCAAAGATATAATCTTGAGATACTTTTATGACACACGATACATCACGATATTTATTTGTACAGACACCTGGGCGGTTAGAGCAGAGGAAAAAAACTAGCAGTGCTACATTTAAAACACAACGAACAATTTTTATTCAATATTTCACACACTGCACTGCATGAAATCCAGTTAAACGAGACTAAATTTACTCTCTTTATAACGAAACGGGCAGTTAACCAGTGTTCTACAAGTACTGACACCATGCAAAATATGTTCAGAAAAGCACATTATGTTGTATTGTGACATGATTTATCATAACACACACTGTCATACTGCCCAGCCCTCTTCACTGCTTCTTTTATATTTATACATATTCTTCAACGCAGTTGCACCCAATTCACAGATTGTTTGTTGCAGCACAATATGACTGAAATCTAACTACTGTGGAAAATAATTGCAGCCAGCTTAAATACATCGTGACCAACTGAAATAAATGCGATTATGCAATGATTCTGACTGGCCTTAATGACTTACGCATTACTTTTTAGTTCTTACGCACTCTAAACAGACTCAATCCACTAATCTGCTAGACCTTTTTCCCCATTGAGATGAGAATAAGTTGCTTTATGCTCATCATGTAATAAAAAGAATAAAAAAGTTTTAACTCATGCTATTTACATGAACACTACCATGTCACTAAGACAACTCAATTCAGTCATTATTTTTCCGAGTTTTAATGCACTAAAGGCCGGGGGGAAGGTATATTAGGCAGTCCTATCGTTATATGCTTAAGAACTAATTTGAGAACAGCAGGGTTCAGGTCAAGTGCTAGAACTGAGTCCAACCCCTACTTTCCAGATTTCATGTCTGGATTTCAATGAAAAGGTCTATTCAGAGTTTGAATACAACAGGAAAGCGTGTAGTTCATGGCTCTGGGTCACAGTCACGTATTTAATAACCAAGGCATTTTTTTCCTCTTTTCCATATTTGCACTTTCAGGTCGATCCAGTCATTACTATGCATTTTTACATGACTTACTTACATCAACATTAAGCTGCTCCATAAATACTAGGACCTACACAGCTGTGCAGGAGTAGGTGTTGGTGGAAGGGGAACTATACTGATATTCCCAAATTTCTGCATAATTAAAAGGTTAAAATGTAAACAACAGAGCTGTTCACAGTGGTGGTGATGGGAACCAGACGTCTGAAGAGTTTAATGTCTCTAAAAGCTCCCTCGCAGAAAGTTATTGCATGAAACAGTTATAAATACGTTTATATATAAATACGGCTTTATGTTATGATAGTTTTAACATCACCTAAAATGTATTTTTTTAAATCCATTATTTGGCGGAGAGGCACATAAAGGGAACCCTAAAGCAAAGTAGCCCCCAAAGAAAACTTTTTCAGATTTAAAATCATTTAACAAACTCAGAAGAAGTAATTTTGTACAGTGAATAAAATGTCTTGCTTTGTAGGCCTTAACCTTCCTATCACCACCACCGTAAAGGAATCTGAGTCGGCCAGTTTCTCAAGAACGTAGCATTTCACATCAAACCACACGGCTTTGTTTACATCTCAACAACCAAGTTATGCAGAAGTCCCATCTTGAGGATCTCCGAAGGTTCACTCATAATGATTTAATTGTCATTAAAGTTAAGAAGTAAACAAAGTCATTCAGAGTGGTTTGGCGTGAAATGCTCCATTCTAGAGAAACTTACAAAGACAGAACTGTTCACAGTGGTGGTGATAGGAACCAGACGTCCCAAGCGTTTAATGCCATTAAAACCTCCCTCACAAAAAGTTACTACCTTAAATGTTTAAGAATATCGGGCCTGAGACGTAGTTTTGAGGTGGTTTTGAAAAGGTTTTGGCCTATTACATATTTTTAAATCACTTAAATTCATGGCGGAGGGATACTTTTAGGGCATTGTGCTGCAAAATAGTCCCCAAAGAAACGTTTTCCCTATTTATTATGATTGTACCATCATCAACATTAGATGTATGTGTAGGTTCACTGGGGGTTTGGATAGTAAACAAAATGGCTTTATTTTTGTTGTAGATATCTCGACCCCTGGCTCCCATCACCACCACTGTGAAGAGTCTCTACACTGAACCATTTCACACCAAACCACTCTGGATGGACTCTGTTTGCATCATAATGATTGGATTACACAGAAATTTTGGAAAACTGGTGGAACTCCCCTTTAAACGTGCCACTACAGGCTTTAGCTAGTATGATCCGTGGAGTGGAAACACTCCCCACGTGGTTAGCGGATTAAACTTTTTTTTTTATGAAAACTTCACAAGCCTGATACCGTCTACCGCCCTAAAACCGCCACATATCTAATAACAAACATGCAGAAATATATTTTCTGCGAGTGGAAAAATAAATGTAATCATTCAAATCGCAACGGCCTGTGCCAGATCTTAGTCCTGAGCCTGGGGACGAGGCTGAAGTTGGCTTCCTATTCCGCCAGCTCCTTGTTCGATTTCACCGTTCCACCTTAAATGGTGCAGCAGTTACATTCCAGCGCTTGAGTGCAGAACGTTACTGCTGCACCATTTAAGGTGGAACGGCGGAATTCGAACAAGAAGCTGACTTGAGCTTCGTAGCCCGGGGTCAGGCAGCGTGTTGCTGGCAACAACAAGAAGCACACTTTAGGCACTTAAGGTTTAACCACGTTTGACCTAGACAGGGAAATCCTCAACGGCCACACTGGACACTCTTATTTTTGCTATTACATTAAGATGTTAGCGCGTTTCGGTGAGAAGAACTTGCGAATTTATCCCAACTTCACTGCCTTCCAGTTAGCGCCATAGCATTAGCCTCATACACCGCTACGCTAGCAGCGTTAGCTCAGCTAGCCTCACAGTTTAGCTCACCAAAACTGCACTTTTAAGTCCAAGACACCTGCCAAAATTAAGCGAACGGGTAGCTACAAGTGTAGGCGTTTAAAACGTTAGACTTCTGGTGTCCTAAACGTGTTTCAACGAAGCGGCAAAGGGTGCACATTTGTTAGCTAGCTAGCTCCACCGGGCGCGACCGTGCACCAAGTTTTAAGCCGAGACAGGCAGGCCGTAGCCGGCTGGCGTTACCTTGACTAACCGGGCCGGCTGGATCAGCAGCCTGGGCCACTACCAGTGCTCAAACCGTCAAAGGCTGACTGGGTAGCGCTGTTTTATAACATCTACGGTTTCGCATGTCAGTGTGTGAGGCTTACTGACCTTGGTATCCCCGTTACACAGCGCCATGAGTGCCTGAAGAGAAGCGGACTGACTGCTCCGTGTTCACCAGCTCCTCTCTGGGTTCAGTACTGGCTGCTGCTGAGAGAGAGAGAGTCTGATCTCAGTGTGATCTGAGGCTGGTCTTAGTCTGGCCACAGTCTGGTTTTAGTCTGATATGGATGATGTTTCTCCTTCCTACGCTGTGAGCAGCTCGCCTGTTGCCCGCAGTTGTAACTACTCAGTGTTTTTTTTCCCGAGATCAGACCAGACACTGATGATCATTTGTCAAAAAGGGAGGAGTTTTGAGTTTTGAGTTGGCGGCCAAGAAAAAGTTTTTCTAGGGTCAGAAATAGAAAGTCTGCACAGGCTGGGCTGATTCAGTCTTACAGCTCAGCATGTGAGTGTAATGTTTAACTTTTTGCTTCTGCCTAATGTTACAGAAGGTCTGGTTGGTCCTTTTGGCTGTTCACTTACAGATTGGTGACTCAAAACTACTACTGCTTTTAACAGTTGAATTAACTGTCAAAAAGATGTTGACATTTCATATATTTGTCTTTTTTGCTTGAAAAAAGGAATTATTAGCCTGAAGATGTACATAATTGCAGAGGAATTTCTGCATAATTCATTGTGGGCCTTCATTACAAATCAATGTAATTGATAATAATTTGAACTATATGAATTACACTGCAATTTGTGTGGCAGTTCAATTTGTTGAACTGTGCACTGATAACAAGCTGATCTGTGATCTTTAGCCCGGAGGACACAGTGTCCATGATTTCCAAAAAGAATTTCAAATGTTGATTTGTTGGGCCACAGAACTCTTTTCCACTTCCCCTCAGTCCATTTTAAATGAGCTCAGGCCCAGAGAAGGTGGCAGCATTTCTGGATCCGGTTTATATCTGGTTTAAGAGTTTTAACTTGCATTTGTGGATGCAGCGACGAACTGTTTTCACAGTGTTTTTCAGAAGTGTTTCTGAGCCCATGCCGTGATTCCCTCTACAGAATCCTGCCTGTTTTTAATGCAGTGCTGCCTGAGGGTCCAAAGATCACAGCCAGCAAATACTGGTTTTTGGCCTTGACCCTTGTATACAGAGATTTCTCCAGATTCTCTAATCTTTCAATGATATTCTGTACCGTAGATGATGAAAAGCACAAGTTCTTTGCTATTTTGCATTGAGAAACGTTCTTCTTGAATTCTTGCACTATTTTGATCATGCAGTCTTTCACAGAGTGGGGAGCCCCTCCTCATCATTATTTCTGAAAGACTCAGCCTCTCTGAGATGCTCTTTTTATACCCAGTCATGTTACTGACCTGTTGCCAATTAACCACCAGATGTTTTTGTAGAATTCCACCGATGTTTCAAAATTTCTGCATAATTCATTGTGGACCTTCATTACAAATCAATGTAATTGATAATAATTTGAAGGGAACTATATGAATTACACTGCAATTTGTTGAGTATGTCTATTTTTGAGTTTGTTAAGGTATATTTGGGTCAACAGACACTGAATGTGTAATTAGAAATTTCAAAAAACGTGTTGTTCTTCAAGGAGAATTCCACCGATTTTTCAAAATTTCTGCAAGATTCTGTGGTTGAGATGTAAACAGAGTCATTCCGAGTGGTTTGATGTGAAATGGTTCATTGTAGAGAAATTTACAGACTCAGATTTCTTTACAGTGGTGGTGATAGGAACCAGGGGTCCCAATGTCTACAACACAAATATAGGCATTTTATTTGCTGTCCAGAACCACCAGTGAACCCACACGTGTCTTCATGCGTTTTTATAAGTAATGTTGATGATGGTAAACTAAAATATAAAATAAGCCTTACTACACCCTGCATGAGTCTCTCCACTGCGAATAGATTAAATCAAAATTATGAAAATACGTGTTTGAGCCAAAACTTTATCACAGCTTAATAATAATAATAATGTAATAACTTTCTGACATTGAGCTTTTAGTGGCAATAAACACTCGGGACGTCTGGTTCCTATCACCACCACTGTGAACAATTTTGACTTGGTAAGTTTCTCAAGATGGAAGCATTTTTTTTTTACCTCAAACCAGTGTGAACAACTCCGTTGACATGCTATCTATTTAATTATGCAGAAATTTTGAACAATTTTGAGTTCCCCTTTGTGTTTCTCTTTTATCTAGTCACTTACAGATTAATTAATACATTAAATAATTAATCAATAACAACAATAAAATAATAATAAGTAGCTTTTTAACAGTTACTTTTGGTTGCAGCACTGCATTCAGCTACACAGGGGTTCAAATTACAACCCCATTTTCAAAAAAGTTGGGACGCTGTGCAAAATGTAAATAAAAGCAAAATGCAATTATGGGTAAATCATTTAAACCCTATATTTCATTGGAAATAATACAAAGACAACATATCAAATGTTGAAACTGAGGAATTTTATTGGTTTTTGAAAAATATTTGTACATTTTGAATTTGATGCCAACAAGATAAGATAAAATAATCCTTTAATAGTCCCACGATGTGGAAGATGCAAAGATACTTTCTCTGGATAGACAAAGCACTTTTTGTAAGTCGCTCTGGATAAGAGCGTCTGCTAAATGCTGTAAATGTAAATGTAAACACGTTCCAAAAAAGTTGGGACAGGGGGCAACAAAAGGCTGGTAAAGTTGTGTAATGCTAAGGTTAGGGTTAGGGTTAGGCCTAATCCTAAAACATCTGGTGGTTAATTAGCAACAGGTCAGTAACATGATTGGGTATAAAAGAGCATCTCAGAGAGGCGGAGTCTTTCAGAAAGTAAAGATGTGGAGGGGTTCACCCTTTTGCTTTTCATCATGTACAGTACACAATAACATTAAAAGATTCAGAGAACCTGGAGAAATCTCAGTATGCAAGGGACAAGACTAAAAACCAGTATTTGCTGGCCGTGATCTTTGGGCCCTCAGGCGGCACTGCATTAAAAACAGATATGATTCTGTAGAGGGAATCACTGCATGGGCTCAGAAACACTTGCGAAAAATACTGTCTGTGAAAACAGCTTGTCGCTGCATCCCACAAATGCAAGTTTAAAACTCTGAAATGCAAAGAAGAAACCACATATAAACAGGATCCAGAAACACTGCCACCTTCTCTGGGCCTGTGCTCATTTACAATGGACTGAGCGGAAGTGGAAAAGTGTCCTGTGCATTTGTTGAGCTGTGTCCTCCAGGGCTAAAGACCACTCAGCTTGTTATCAGTGCAAAGTTCAAATGCCAGTATTCATGATGGTATAGGGGTGCATTAGTGCACATGGCATGGGTGACGTACACATCTGTGAAGGCACCGTTAATGCTGAATGATATATACATGTTTTGGCAACAGATGCTGCCATTCAGACAACGTCTTTTTCAGGGAAGGCCTTGATTATTTCAGCAGGACAATGTAAAACCACATTCTGCATGTATTACAACAGCATTGCTCCGTATTAAGAGTTCATGGTGCTAAACTGGCCTGCCTGCAGTCCACACCCCATGTCACCACTGAAAACATTGTGCATTGTGCATAAAAAATACAACAAATGAGACTCCAAACTGTTGAGCAGCTGAAATCCTGTATCAAACAAGAGCAGGAGAACATTTCACCTTCAAAACTACAGCAGTGTCTCCTCAGTTCCCAAACGCTTACAGAGTGTTGTTAAAAGAAGAGCTGATGAAACACAGTGGTAAACATGCCCCTGTCCCAACCTTTTTGAGATGCGTTGCTGCCATCAAGTTCTAAATGAGTTAATGTTTTTCATGAAATGATAAAATGTCTCACTTTCAACATCTGATATGTGTTCTATGTTCTATTGTGAATGAAATATGGGTCTATGAGATTTACAAATCACTGCATTCTGTTTTTATTTACATTTATTCACATTTTACACAGCGTCCCAACTTTTTTGGAATTGGGGTTGTAGAAAAATAGTATAGATAGTATTTATAAAGTATGAGCAGCGAGCAGTTTTGTACACATGGAAGCCTTTTGTTCTGCTCCATTTCCTAAAACAACACTGCTAGTGAATAAAGGTTTATGGAGACATATTAGCCTGGTCTTTCTTGTGTAATGCTAAATGGCTCCCACTAGGTTTCATGCGTTTAGCAATTAGCATTTCTGGGGTGAAACATTCTTTTAATCATCTTAAAGAAATAAGTGGTATCTTACTTAATATAAAAAGGTATCTTACTTAATAAAGTAATTAGAATAGAGATAAATGCAAGACTGCCATCTGGTGGGAAAATAGATAACGACACTAAGCAAACATATACCACAGGTTCCTTTGTGTTATTAACACATCTGTGAGTACAGTTAAAGGGGAATTCCACTGATGTTTTTAAAATTTCTGCTCAATTTAATAGTTAAGCTGTAAACTGAGCCATTCAGAGTGACTGGTTGTGAAATGCTCTGTTCTAGAGAAACATACTGAGTCAGAATTGTTCACAGTGGTGGTGATAGGAACCAGACATCTGAAGGGTTTAATGCCTCTTAAAGCTCTCTCACAAAGACAGTTATTACATGAAATGGTTATGAATGTGCTGCCTTATACCTGAGATGTTGTTTATTAATAGTTTTGAGAGGCTCTTTTGCCCTAAAATGTATCTCTGAAAATACTGTGATGGTGGAGAGTTACATGCAGGGTGTAATAAGGCTAAATAAACCTGGAAGAAAACTTTTTTTTACCACAGTTTTCCCATCATCAGCATTACATATAAAACTCAGCAGACACATTCGGTTCACTGGTGGTTTTGGATAGTAAATAAAATGTCTATATTTGTGTTGTAGACCCCACAACCCCTGGTTCCTATCACCACCACTGTAAAGAGTCTGTAAGCTTCTCTACAATGAACCATTTCACATCAAACCACTCTAAAGCACTTTGTTTACATCTCTACCGCTGAATCCACAGAAATTTTGAAAAAACCGGTGGAATTCTCCTTGAAGAACAACACGTTTTTTGAATTTTCTAATTACACAATTAGTGTCTGTTGGCCTAAATATACCTTAACAAGCTCAAAAATAGACATACTCAGCAAATTGCAGTTTAATTCATATAGTTCCCTTCAAATTATTATCAATTACGTTGATTTGTAATGAAGGTCATGCCACAAAATTTAAAACAAATGTGTTAAAATGGTGGAAAAAGCTGTTGTTTGAGAGGGACCGAGTCTCAGGCCTTGGTAACATGTCATATTCTGCCCCTTCCTCCTGACCAAATGCAACTGCACCATGTGACAGCACAGCACATCTTTAGCTGTG